TGTCTTTGAAGACGTCTTCGTGTACGGACCGGTATATATAGATCTTCGGGGATTTTAGGTCTCCAGTATTCTAAAGGTGCGATTTTGTTGATGATACTTCTGGCGTGATAAAATATACTAGTTAGTGTGTCGATATTGTTTGCAGTGAAGAAAATTCCCCGATCAGTGCTTCTTAGGTAATTTTGTAAGTTATTCCAATAAACCTTTCGGTAGTTTCTACGAAGTATTACAGTTTTAAGTCTGCCGGTTGTGGTTTTTATATTAAGGCTACTTACGACAATGTTATGATCACTACCGATATACACAATATTGGGGGTGAGGCCATTGGTTAAGACTAAGTCCAAGATATTTTGATGTCTGGTAGGGCTACTGACATACTGAACCCACTGTCCTAGTTCTGGGCATTCAATAAATGATTCATAGCTTTTCGGCATCTTGTCTGGGAACCAAGAAATTTCAGGCATGTTGAAGTCACAACAAATGAGCGTGCTTGTGAATGAGAGGGATGATGCTAGTGTGAATACCTCTGATAATACTGCTGTTTCACCTACTGATGCGTTAGGTTGATGTTAGACAGCTGACCAGTAGGGTAGTGAAATTGGATGGCTTTAAAACAATTCGCACCGAATAATTCAGTTTGTTTAGTTCAGGTATATCACACAATAGTGAATTTAGACTAGAGTGGGCGTAAATAAGACATCCTCCACCTTGTCCGTTCAATCTATCACTTCTATATAGGAAATAGTTGTCAACAGATATACTTAGGTTGGAAATATTACTGTCAGTCCATGCTTCAGATATCATTATAAGCGATGGTTGATATATGGATACGAACGGCTAAATCAGTCTTTTTTATTGCCGATACACCTAGCTTTGATAAGACACATATTAAACAAATCTGTGTTGATTTCCAAATACCTCCGCATTACTAAGCTAACTAAAGAAAAAGGTGTATGATCAGTCAGAGGAAGAATTCCAACAGGTATTCCAGTCAGTTTGCTAAGTTTAATACGGTTTATTAAGTTAGAGGAAGATTTCCTTGGCATCGCATTGCTCAGAATTTAGTAATACTACTAATACATATAAACTGTAATTAAAAATTACCGATGCTTGAAAACACCTGTAACGTGATTTTTGGACAGACAACTTATCATGATTCGCTGAATCTGAGTATATGAGTGAGAGCTATGCTCCAGACTCAACGTCCTTATGTGCAATAAACCAAATATTTATATTGGTACTTAGCCGTTGTTTATACATACAAGTTAGTTGCAAGTATCAAGTTTGGGATAAGGCAGAATTCGACCCATCTGAAATTGAGCGATTGATTTGTTTAATTTGTTGAAGCTCATATTCCACGAGTACATATGACATGATTTTGAACGTTTTTGGCTAGACAAGTTTTTAAATGATGAACAGTGAGTGCTGGGTAAGTGATAACCTGTGAGATCATGAGTTGTTAATAAACAGAGTACAGATTTAAACACATGTCTAGATTAATGGAATGAAATTTTATCAGTGCTGAGGCGAATTTGACAATGATGTTTTCCGTATGCAGTAGGTTTGCTCGACTGCTTACATTGGTAGTTCGCACAAATGATTGTTTAGGTAGACTTCCAATTAGACTGAAAGGGCTCTTAGTTGTTTACTAGATGAGCAACTGATAGAGAAACATGCTGGAATCATCTACGTTAGATATGGACAACCACGAGAAAACGATACCATTTAATGAAAATCATCTGTCAGTTTGTCGACTGGGTTTTTTGACAGTATTAATTATTTTATCAATCACGTTAAGTGATTTTTGTTGTGAAAATGTTTTATGATTATATCCAGAAACCGTTATAAGTAACTAGTGATAGTTTCGGTTGGGTATTCTATGATGGGAAATAGGTATTGCCATTTCAGATAATCGACACTTTTATTAACCCGAAATATGTACTCGCTTAATGACTCAGAAGTTTCAGAAAATTCAAATCGCTAATGTAACATTTATTAATCCGAGTTGCCAGGTTATGTCACAGATAATGACTTACAAATATTCTTTAACTTAGTGCCAAGTTTAAAGTTGCACTGCAGATTATCCACTTTGAGCATTTGCATTACAAAAAACTGTGTAACAGTAAAGTTATTACGGTAGTGCAGTGGGATAATTGTTTTAATATAGTGACTTCGTCACCTCACGCGGTCTTGAATATGTCAAATGTCTTGTAAGAAAACTAATGCGATGACAGAAATCATAAATGTAAATACTTACAGCCATAAGAATCCTGTTGGCTTTGGCGAAAATGTGAGGGGCATTTTGAATCGTATAAAGATAAGATAATAATACATGTGTGTAAGCTAGTATGATGATGTGGAACATAACAATCAAAAATTTGCAACGAAAACTTAGAGTTGAGACAAAAATGATAATTAAAGGTCCTAAATTAACCTGCTAGGAATGTCCGAAACACAGCGCTTTGAAGAAGGCACAACTAAGTGAGCACAATTGGGAGCATTATATTTGTAAGAATAAGAAGTTCATGACTGGTAATACTCGAAATAGAAACGTTATTATGTTTAATTAAAGCATTGGGATTTAAACGCCTCGACATACCAATTGAAATCATGGATTTGATATTACTAATGTCAACATTGCAGTCGTGAAGGGCACTACTGAATAAATATAATTGTTTTCTATTATGAAGCGAACCACTCAAAGTTGTTAATAAGCGAAGTGTCTGGTTTTTAAAATCATTCAATTAATAGTATGAGAATTACAGATTTTAGTATCACATGTGACGAAGTGAACAGTAGTCCTACACACAGGGTCAATGTGTCTGATTTCACTGCATTTAGAGGCAGGCTGAATTAGATGAGCACCGCTGGGTGTATTGTATTTATAATTTGTAATAACCGCACTATCAAGTACAAAGGAATCATCAGTCAGTACAAATACGCTTGCAGGACTACGATTAGGAACATAAATGGGTGTTAGCGATGCATATATTGGATTAAAGCATGTCCCGTTCACGTTTGCGTTGGATCACGCTGGTTGTCTATCTCTTAACCAATCAGTATTAGTTGATACTTGGAGAAGACTCTAGAATCTCACGAAATTCATAGCAGTCGGATAATACAGGCTTTTCAAAAGAGGGTGCTGTATTTATCCTAGTAACATGTTTAATGCGTACAAACGATATTCAGAAATAGGAAGTTCAACCCAATGTTGGATCTAATGTATCCCCTCTAAAAAATCAGACATTTTTTCATAGCGATTAATTATCGTGTGAAATTAGTGAAATAAATCTTACATTTAAAACCCAGGTTTGGGAGTAATGATTAAATGAAACTTTATATATGGCTAGACTCAGCTGACATACGTACACGTTATTAAGTGTCGTAAACATAGTAAATCTTTCAGTGAAATGGTGAAACTCGTTCACAATATTTTAGGGGGTTAAAATAGTCGAGTGGATTTGGCATGTAAAACGCCGGTAGTGGCAATTGGTACAGATCCAATAGTAACCAGAATAAATGAAGGTCGCTGCAACCAATTTTCGGCTTTCAGTGATGTCATTGACTTCACCAATCATTTGATTCAGTTGAAATCCTAAAAGAGCCCAGATGAATACGTGGCGTCTGCAGAATGAACAGTTGTAGATGACCTTTACATTGAAGAAACTTCATAGCCTAGACTTACAGTATGTTTCTCGTATATTGTCCTTATTTTTCGGTGACAACCCAACAGTAAGAAATCACCCAGATGGTGTTCGAAAGAAAAGATATTAGGGGATAGTGCACAGCATAGAATAGAGCAAAATGTTTAATGGAGAGATGGAAAAGCAGATTCAAATAGTTTATATAGCTTGCATTAATTTCCAGCCAGCATGTACTTGCGTCGATCAAGTGGTTGACGTTGTAACAAACTCATACCACTAAAGCACTTTTATGCTACTAACGCTTGTTAACGAACTACATCTTATTATGGTTGTGATTAACTAGAACAGTGTCATGGGGGATCCGTTTCGCATTGGCTAAACGTTTCCGCGTCTGCCACTAATAACCTTTCTACGGTGTCAAATGTTGAGTATAAATCTCAGTCATCGCATGTCCGGCTTCAAAGATCGTGTGGTTAAAAGCCAGAACCTTTAAAAACTCACTTTTATAGAGGTGGTCAAAGTAGCGAGAGCGGTTGTACAGACAATTTTCGGACGCGAACAACGTAACAAATACATAAAGACGTCGTAGATATTCAGGTTTTGACGTCTTTACATGCAAAACCTTTGTAGAATAAAACCAACTTAGTCAAATCAAAAGTTAGGAATGAAGGAGTTCGAAGATATATTTGGAGAGTTACCGATGTGTCGAGACACATTCAATGTGAGCTAGCGACTAGTTTCAAGAGATATGTAGCGCAGCGTATCCACTCGTGATCTGGTGCGGATGCGTGATCGTACGCTTTCAGCTAGGGAATGTCTCGTAAAACTAATGAGGTAAGCTCCAATATCATAGACTTACAGAACTATTTGTTTTGGGTATTTATTTGCCGCTGCAGAAACTTCTAGCACGGACAGTGTACACTCTACTATGCCGATATAAGTAGCACCAATCCTTGCTTCACCACTTAGTGAGATGTCCTCAAATTCGCTCAGCTTTTTATCTGTAGTCAAATTCTGGAATCCGTTACCAGCCGAGGTTGTCCAAGCGACTTCCAAGGAGTCCTTTGAGAGGGAACTTGACATACTCCCAAGGACTTTGGGCAGTAGTACCCTATAGTTTGAGAGAATTTCTTTTTTACCCATTAAATATACCTTGGTTCATGCGTGGAATCATCGGTTATCCACTGCTACTAGATAATTGAGCCATTCAGACAAAAGATTGTACAACAATTTGAACCACTTAAAAACCTATCAATTAAGTAGGTTATTTACATTAAGTGTGAGTAGAATGCAATGAAATGAGGATTGGTAATTACTTTAGCATGACCTTGAAGGTGAGATTGAACTTTGTATATCATAGCCACAAGTTTGAGCTCGAGGTATGTCTGCGTGATGACTCGGAAAGGTACTGCCAAGTTAGATGAACTTCGCAAGATCGAGGGTCAGGTGCAGACTTTTTGGGAGTCAAATAAAGTATTCGAAGCAAACGTTCCTTTGGAAAACAGTGAAACGTAACATTCCATTGTCGACGACATTTTTTTAGAATTCAAAAATACTTCGTCACTTTCCCTTACCCCTATATGAATGGAAGACTACATTTGGGCCACACATTTTCTTTATCGAAATGCGAGGTAAGCGAAATTGTCTTGTGAATGCGTGAAGTTTTCCGTCGGATACGAACGACTAAAGGGGAAGTTGACCCTATGGCCCTTCGGTCTTCATTGCACCGGTACGCCTATCCTAGCGTCTGCAGACAAATTGTCACGAGAATGCAAGGAGTTCGGTTGTCCGCCTGTTTTTCCACCTGAGGCTTCAAAGCCTTCTGCTGATATTGAGGCAGTGGTACTAACCTCTTATGCTTAACCTATAACTTAATAATTTAGACTCCTGCTCAAGGTAAAAGCAAAAAAAGTAAGGCTGTTGCGAAGGCTGGTGGCGCAAAATTTCAGTGGCAAATAATGGAGAGCCTTGGCATGGAGAACAATGAAATCGCTAAATTTAAAGACCCTGAATACTGGTTGACGTTTTTCCCTGCTTTAGCTGTTGATGATTTGCGAAAACTAGGTGTCAAGGTGGGTTCTATGTACTCCAGTCGGTCTTATTTAATTATTTTTAATGCTGTGCTTGTAATAAATAAAATTTGTTCTTCCTACTTCATGTATGTCAGTGTTATCTGTGCTTACCAGCTATATTTACTTATCTAATCCTTCATGGTTGACAATATTTTGTGAGCAAATGCCACTGAATACTACTATTTCCTCGTGTAGTTTATCTGCTAGTAGCTTACTTTTGCTGTTTATACTTCTTCAGATCCAAACTATAATGGTTGTTTTGATCCTTAACTGCGTCTGTTAACCGAGTTTAATGCTAATTCTCCGTCAGTTGGACTAGTAATACACATCCGATTTACTGACTTGTCTCTGTTTTCATTTTTTAGTTTCATATACTTGAAAATTATTCTACACAAGAATCAACTAACGTTTCGACTATAGTTCTTATGAGAGGAAAGTTCTTCGTAACACGATACGTGTTGAACAATTAGGAATTATGTGGCTAATCAGGTCTGAAATCTCACACATTGACTGTTGCAGTCATTGTTTTGCATACTGAGGGTCGGTATAAATAACTCATCAGGTAAAGGTTAGTCTACATGGCTTGGAACCATACTCGAAGTGTAAGGGCCAGTTATATCACCCGGTTGTCTAAATCAGAGTAGGTTTGAACATGGGATTTAGTCGTTAAAAGCTGACTGTACTCATCATAGGATATTTGCTTCACCTAGAGCCGATCATAGTTAACGTAGGACATGACATGAATATACTTCTCAACTTGTCGGCCCTAATGAGTTGGCGTCTGACTAAATTTCTGCACGGATCTAAAAAGCTCATTTGGCTTTTGCCAACTTACGTCACCTATGGCGAAGACGAGATATCCATCTATCGACTGAGGGACGAGTATACTGCCCCTAGTTTTCGGATAGGAAAACAAAAGTAGAAATTAATTAGTTTTAAATCAGAGTGTGATGGGGGGGGTATGGGAATATTAACTGCTTGCTAGAATAGAACTGAAGTGCTATTAGCTAAAGGAAATGAATCTACTGAGGTCTCTAACAACACTAGTTTGTCAGGATTCTTTTCGCAAGTCGAAATATTCTTTGCTAGTACTGCTTGCTACGACACTATATTAAACACAAACGCTTCATATAACAATATGGAACTATAATAGCGTGATTTATAAGATAATGAATAGGTTTTCCCAACTATTTCTTTTAGGAGAATCTTTCGCTCCTTAGTACTTACGTTAATTCTTTTGGTTCTTCATATCGCCTTTTGTAAATGTTGACGGCTACAGCAACGACGGTACTAAGACAACGTTATGATGTCTGTTGATTTTCTCATTCAGAAGGACCTAATAAGGTTAACAATAATATTTTATCTTAATAAGTTTAGTAGGCTACTCTGCAGAATATTGGCGCGTGGTAAAATAACCTCAAATCTTTTTAATGTTAGGTTGATTGGAGGAGATCCTTCATTACAACAGACGCTAATCCCTACTATGATTCATTCGTTCGTTGGCAGTTCCTGACTCTTAAGAAGCAAGGAAAAATTCAGTATGGTAAACGATATACCATATTCTCTGCTCAAGATAATCAGCCATGTATGGATCACGAGAGAACTGTTGGCGAGGTAAGGTGCGGTATAACACAACTTGTATTTCAAGGGTGTCGTTCCGCAAGAATATACGTTGATTAAGCTGAAAGTCATATCCGAATTTCCTTCGAAATTTAGGTGAGTACTTTTCCTGGCATTATTTTTTGATCCGAATATTTCACTTGTCACTTATCTTCATCGTTAAAATAACTGAGTCATACAGCCAACAATTAAAAGTATTAAGTCCGCGTCAACTTGATGTCTTCTATCGAAGTTTCCTGGATTAGTAGTCAGTAGCTTTGTGGACTGACGCTATCTTGATTTACTTATCATTATCTTTTTTCAAAAACTACTTCTGTGTCAGCTGACGTAGGACAAGGCATGAGTAACTTATGTTCTAACCACGTTAGTCACTAAAGACGTTCACGGGTTGACATATAGTTACGTTTTCGCAAATTTCACGTTTTTCCAACTACTGTTGCTAAAAATAATCTGAGTAAAAGCAATTCAATATCATGTTTAACTTCTTGCAGAGCTGTTTACATGTAATAAGCCTAACACCTCGCAAAATTTCTGATAATATATCACTTCAAAAGTGACAGTGTTTTGTATATATTTGAAAATAATAATGAAATAAAAATGAAATTTATTTAAAGACTCCTAATGAGTGATACTTATCTATAATGTAAATATGATAAACTAGACGATTTGGGTCAGTTGCATGTAGTTGTTTACGTAATTAAAAGTACTATTTATTTGATCAAGTATTTGCTAAATTTGAGCTGCTGGGATGAGGATTATATCAGTTGTGAATACTTAAAATTCATCTTTGAAGGAAGAAAATTTATTGTTTATAACGTCACAGTTTTGTATGCTCTTCAGTCCCACTTGTATAATGTTAAACGTTTAACGTTAATAGATTCCTGGAGTAAACATGGAGGTTATGAATACTTGCGTTTTGCGGTGAATAAATTCGTCTTATTTTTGTCCTTAGTTGTTTAAACCAGTTAAAAGTACCCATATTCCTTGTTGCGGCAACTCTACGTCCTGAAACGATGTTTGGCCAAACTAATTGTTGGGTACATCCAGATATAGATTATGTCGGAGTGAAAAGCATACAACAGTCTTGTATACTAATTTGTACTCAACGCGCTGCTCAAAACATGGCGTATCAGGTTTGTCTTACGTACAATTTTGCTGTTGAATGATTATTAAAGTACAATATGATATTGGCAACGCTACAGTGTTCATAATATTAGTATTTCTAATCATTCTGCATATTTCATTGGGAATAAATGGTTTTTGTACTTGATGAAACACTAGATACAAGTCATTTTCTTGATAAATACAAACTAATTGGCTGTAGCAAAAACTCAAACTCTGTATTGTGCCCGTAATTTCCTTTCAAATCTGTTGACTGGGTTAGTGTTTACTAAATGATACTCCATTTAGGAAATCAACCAAGAGAAGTTTTTGCTAATAAAGGTAAATACACCCTAATTTCGTGTAAAACGTAACCAAACGTTACGACAAAATCATGGGTTTATATACCGCTCCACGCTTGATCATGTCCTCAGCCAGAGGTTTGGGTGATCTTTAGCATCCTAATTGGAAAGTCGCAAAAGCTGTTAGTCTTATCTAAGTTACTAACTGATAGCCTCTTTTAACCCAATCATATTGTCGACAAATAAGGGGAATGAAAGTCGTTGGGATGACATTCATATAGTATACTCAAATCGACGTGTTCAGTGTTTTGTAGATCACTATGCCTGGAAATGCATTGTTAGACGGCGGGATTACCTACACGATGTTATCACCAAATGCGAACAATCCTTCGGAGATATCGACTATTGGGCACAGCAAGTCCCCACATAATTTAAACGCAGAGGAGTCAAGTTTCAAAAACATAGAGCAGAACTGCTCTCACGGATGTGTCAACGTTTTACTTCATGACTAATGTCGCGGCGGCACAAAAGATGGTCCAGATTACTATAAGGTTTTATAGTTTCCAGTCTCCATAAACTCATATCATCAGCTACAATACCTAAATGCACGCGCGTTTTGGGAATTTTCAGCCGGTCACAAAAATGATTGAAGTGCAGGGTCTTACTAGTCTTGGAAGAGTACTTTGCATTCTGAAGATGTAATAGATATGCCTTACTAACGGTGACTGATTGTCTACTAATTGAGTGGGATCTGGATGGTTTGTGTGGCATTGCACAGTAAGGCAGTATCGGTCTGAAAACCAAAGACACTCCAAGTGACAGATTCACACCGCCACCACTTTTTACGGAGCTGTTTCTAGAATTTCGTTGGAATCAAAGTTGAAAAGATATGATGAAATTGTACGAGATTGCTTAACACTACTAGTAAAACCGGACAGTAAAGGGATGGTTTTAGTGTGTGCGGAGGCTTCAAAATCTTAATAAACTTTTCAAGCATATCGTTCGCCAACAGAAAGTCTGGCTCGATATATTAACGGCGTTTTTGATGTTGAAACGCAATAGTTTTGCGACCTACAGAAGTTTGTGGGTGTCCAACCAATTGGCAAATGGTAAAGAACAAAAACTAACCTATTCTTTACAAGCCACTTTCTCATGAGTTTGTTAGGTTCGAAGAATCCGGTCATTTAAACGTGATTGGAAAAACATTGACTAAGATAAACCATTACTTCTAATTCGTTTGTTCAGTATCATCTAACTCCATTATGTTCTGTTTATGATTATCTTCATTTGTTCTCAGTGTTTACCTCATTGCTTACCACTTTGTAGACAGTTTAAAATTTTGTTGGTGGAATATGTTTCGAAACTTCAAAGTAGTAGTTGAAAGGTAGATGTTTTAACTGATGAGCTACCTTTCTTGCGGATACGTTAATTTTAAACACAATACTGATTGTTTCGTTTTTAGGAAAACCATCAGAATACTCTCAATTTCCATCTGCTTTTTCGTTCTAATTGTGTAATCGACATCCCCATCTATTATTTCCTCGGTAACATGCCTGTGTAAATTATCTTTCACTTACATCGTGCTTTAAAACTGATTTTTACGACCAAAGTTAGATTGTTGTCATAGCGTGTAGTTCCTCCTTCAAATATCGGAGGTTTCTGTTTCATTCAATAACCTGTTGTTATGTAACTTGATTTCAGGGTATTTTAGATCCTTTACGCCCTGGGCATATCGACATAGTTGCGAATTTCAAAGGTACTGATCTTCTCGGATTAAAAGTCAAGGCTCCATTATCCTCTTATGAATCTGGAGTTTTCGTTTTACCTATGATGTCAATTCGATCTTCTAAGGGTACCGGAGTTGTGACTAGTGTTCCTAGCGATTCTCCAGATGATTGGGTCGCTTTGCAAGATTTAATTAAAAAGCCTGTAAGATGATCCTCATATTGTTTCACTTTCGTTTTCGTTGTATGATTAAAGATATTATAAATTCTTTTTTTACTCCCAGCTGCTCCCATCACTTAGTATTCTTGGACACTAATTCACTAGACAAATCCCCAAATAAGAACACGGTTAAACAGGAACGAAATTGTATTCCAAATAACAAGAGTAGATAGAAGTAAGAAGCACAATAAAATAAAACGTTAGTATATTTATAGTTTTTACATAGGAAGATTCTCGAGTATTCTCCAAATATCCACTAGCGCTGATTGGTTAAGAAAATACCACTCAGCGTGCCCCAACATAATCCTGCACGAAACATGCCTTAATCCAATCTTCATTCCGCTAACAGAAGCCTACAGTACCATTTGACTTCTTTTATATATTATGGAATTCAAATTTTCATTCAAATAAATTGATGTATGCAACAATGCATAATTTACTCTGAAGAGGCGGCTTACCTTAGGTCATGAAACGTCAGAAATACAATTTTCTACTCATTGAGATATTACAGAAATATTTTTAATATTAAATTAATGATATATTTTTAAAGAATGCAGCTCATTTTATGCTGTTAATCCATTTAGTAGTTGTTATGTCGAACAAAAACATTTTTGAATTATATTGTGGCCTATGCGATCGAGGTGTAATTAGATTAGAGCAGCTGTATGACCTAGTCTGAGTATTGATTATCTTACCTACAATGTTTTCATAGTGTCAGTGACCTCTTACTAACCAATAATACGATAATGTGAAACAACAACCGTGAACAATATTTCAATACTATTGATCCAGGATAGAATAAAACGCAGCAAGTAGATAACATCTAATTCTAAAATTCAGATTTATAACTGATTCGTACAATAATGCAGAGTAAAATCTTGATCAGACATCAACATAGTTTAGAAACTACAGTGTAAACATAAATACTCCATAAATGGAAGAAAACTGAGTAATAGGTCCATAATATATTAACGGTAACTTAAGAGAGGTATAGCAAATAATAACAATTTATACATAGCGAAAAAGTTCACAGGTGGGGAATACAAAGATACAATAATTCAAGTATCTGGTAGCTATATAGCAGAAATTTAAACAATAACATAAGGTAGAACAGTCCCAAAAGTTCAGCTCTGTGTAGCGCATACATATCTGGTGTTCCCTTGTATCAATATTTCTGTGTTTAAATAAATAATCAACTCTGTTTAATATTTACCCCGTTATGTCAATAACTTATGGATAACATGTCATTACTGTGTGTTATCATAAGCAGGTTAAACTATTCGATGTTCAATAAGATGCAGATTCGAATCCCGCCCTACCCAGGTCTATTATACTATTATCACTGAAAGTCTTATGAGAGGTGTGACCTTAAGTCAAGTTGATGAACTTGTACTTGGTAAATGAATTATATTAATTAATTAGGGTTGTTAGGGCTATATACATTGACATGGCTTTTTATTGAGGTTGTGTCACAACTGGAATGAAAAGAATATACATGAGTTGAATTACTTCCATCAGTGTTCGTCATTAGCTTGTAGATTTTAAAGATCGACTTGATTAATCATTTATTCTGTAATTTATTGCTGATAACCTTTTTTTGTTTCCCAAACTTTTGCTGAATCATGGCTTTCAGGTTACTTCAGTTTCTCGTAACTCACAAAAACAGATGGGGTACTGTTCAATCCCCTTTGAAATATTACTTCCTAAGCGTATTTTTATGTGTTCCTGAGTAAATGATAATCCAACCTACTACGTACCTAACTGCATAAGCTTTATGCTTACAGCAGGTGAATTATCTGCTTGTTTATTTATATAAGTTGATATTACTGTACATTTCAGTTGTAATAATAGGCGTGATCAATAGATGGGATAATCAACTACTGCGGTTCTTTTTTCATAGTCACAGTTGTCAAACTTGATTCTGGATCACTAACCTAATAATTATATAACTACTTACTTCGCCATGTTTTCTTTCCGTATGAGTTTGTTAAAATTTTAATAGCATTCTGTGTATAGGTATTTGAGGGTAGTTTTACGATTTTCTGTGGTTTACGTTAGCACTATTCTCTAGTGCAACTTTACATGAAAATCAATTTGTACAACGAGAATTTCCGATTTCGGTGAAACATTTGTGCGCGTCATTTTTCTGATAGAATTATCAGTAAGAACAAACCATTATCTCACCACTTTATTATGTTAATTGTGGATTTCTAGTAGATTGAGTCATATTATTGTTCAATTGTTTTCACTTTTAATTCACAGGCATTCCGGACGAAGTACAATCTCCTTGACTCGATGGTCATACCATTCGAACCGGTTTGTAATTTACACAAAAATAATAACAATTATAATGTGATTTCAATTTTCAGATTCCTATAATTGAGACACCAGGTTTAGGTAGTTTACCAGCTGTCACAATAGTAGATCAGTTAAAGATTCAAAGTCAAAATGATCGAGATAAATTGCAAGAGGCTAAAGAAAAGGTTTATCGTGTTGGCTTTTACGATGGGGTAGGCTATTCTTATTCAAATATACATATTATTGTTCCTTAAATATAATAACATATTAGATTATGTTGGTTGAAAAATATAAAGGTTTAAAAGTGAATTCAGTGAAGAAACTTATTCAAGATCAATTGGTTGAAACGGTGAGTGATAAAGAATCTTTTTTTCTAGATTTATTAGTTAAATTTGTTTGGTGAACTAATTATATCCCTGTTATTGCCAATTAAAATTTTTGGGTTTTTTCTAATTTGTTTTCGTCAGAAATTTAGATTTCTACTACTGGATTCCATCAGTAATAATTTAACAACCGAAAGACCATAATTATTAAGAAAAATTAAAACTACGACTTTCACGACATTCTACAACATTTAATCGTTTCTGCACATTTCTAAATTTTGGGTCTTCACAATTTTTTCATCAGGAAAATATCAAATGTGACTAATAAAATAATGATATACTTATTATATCCTAACGGGCAGAAATTTATACTTTTGACATTTCATGGCTTAGTGTAAGCCATTTCTCCAGATCAATTAAATAAGCAACCGGATTTACTTACCCACAGGAGTGGTTTACTTTAAGTTATGAAGCATCAAAAAGCCAAATTTATACTCATTTGGGATATGACAAATATTTTATTATTAACTTTCTATCCAATGCTCAATTTGTTTAAATTACCAAGTCAAACAGTGGTATTAATAACTACAAATTAAATATGACTTTTAAATCCCACATAGTGCATTAATTCTTTTTGTGCGTTTTACAGCGATAGTGTTTTACTCTAAATATCACACGTGCTGGTATTTGGTTATCCACTTTTTTATATAGAAAACTGTATATTAATTAAATACCTGCAACTGAATTAGACTATTGAGTTGTCAAATTTTTGTACTAATATCTCTCTTAGTTAATATATATGGACTAAGATAAAAAATAATATCGTAAATTGAACTACCATGTACTGTGAGTACTGAGTTTGTTTAGTTCACCCTTAGTTATATAATTTTATTTGTTAGAAGGGCTTGGCAGCTTAATCGACTAAATCATCCAAAATCCACCAACTCAACTGCAGATTCCCATCATCTCATAATTGTGCGTAGATTGACCAATGATGTTTTCCAGTGAGCTTTATTAATTGTAAACCAACTTTGTGTACTCAGAAATTATAAATAAAAAAAATTCGGAGTAGGAATAAGGTGTACAAGTAAACATATCGAAAGCAAATCCGGTTATTACAGTTAACCTAATTTCTGTCATACCTTTTTTAATGTATATCATTTCACTAACTTGCTTTACACAGACATTCATTGAACTGTTTCTTACGATTAAGCCTAAGAGTCAGAAGAGTTGTTACTGTCCCACTTAAACTTTTAGACAGAACTCCCAAACTTGAGATTATTCTAAACAAGTATTCACTTGGGATAAAAGACTGAATTGTTTAGATTTAATAGCATTTTATCTGTCAAATTGTTTGCTATAAATATTGTATTGTAAATTATGTCATTTATACAACATTGTGCTTTTTTGCCTATAAATCCATTTACATTAGAATGATGCTATAATTTATTACGAGCCGGAAAATCTGGTCGTTACACGTGGTGGTGATGAAGCAGTGGTTGCTTTGTGTGATCAATGGTATCTAGATTACGGTTCAGAGGAATGGAAAACAGAAGTCCGTAAAGCAGTAGCCAACTTGTCAGCAACTGATGAGGTAATATCGTGTCGTTATAATTATCTGTAATGATATCTTTTCATAAGATTAGTATTACGAGTTGATTTTTTGTAAAGTTTATGTTCTTGTGCATGAAGATGATACGTTGTTCCTCACATTTTTAACACAGAAAAATGAACACGGCATAACTAAATTATTTGAGAACTGTGCACTGTATGCTGTTGTATCATCACTGGGGTTTCACAATAGTGTGTCAATATGAAAACCACTATAATGATATCTAAAATTAACACACATCGTTCGATTGGGCTATCTACTGGTCTATTTAGAGGTATATATAAGAAGGGAAGTTGGTCGTTCTTCTTAACAAGTATATGTGTGGTCAAATTGTTTGGAATGTATTGCTTTAATGTACTACTTAGTTCTTACAATCTTCATCTTCTTATAGCACTATCGAGGTTATATCTGTTTTCACTTCTGTATTAGTATGTGTACAGTAGGTCAAAACATGACGGCATGGAAATCCGTTTTCAATAGAAAAACTACAGGAACAATTGACGGGATTTCTGAAGACCCTGTAAGTGCCTGTAGCGTCACCAGACGCGGAAATGTTGACTGACATAATGGCTTCAGTAACGGGTTGGGGCAGATGGCGCTTTAATAACTGACATTCAGCGGGTATCAGTTTATTTTCGAGACAACGTTTTTGAGGTTTCCGACCAATAATTTTCTTCTTGCGACATTCCTATATGTATTTTTGAACTCGCTCTTCCATCCAATATTCAGCCCTAAGAAGCACACTGAAAATGGATCTCAGCACGGATGTTTTTCTTATCCATTTGTGCAGCTTCAAAATTTTATGTGCTATCTCTTCGAAGTTGCTATTATTTTGTTCAAGAAGTGTCGCAGCCGGTCGAAACGTATTGGACCATTTGCGTTTCTTAGGCAACGAGTGATCTCGTATATATCGGTAAAAAGTCCCGTCTGATGCTTCAATAACTGAAAAATAGCTTTGGAAACTACAAAAGACTGTAGTGTCTAAATATTTTTATTGATCTGTCCACGTTTCGAGTGGACATCAGGCGGAAGAATAGATGTAAAAGTTGAGATCGCGGCCTCTACGATTACAATTTAAGGTTAATCTCATTCAATTAATAACTTACCTTATTTATGACATTGCGAATTAGGTGTAAACAAAATTTGGTGCGAGTTCTGATACACTTCTGTTATGGCAATAGCTGTCGCCAGTAAGTTATCTGTGACAATACCAACCAACTGTCGATTGTTAGTTGAGCGCAAGAAGAATGACGGAAATCGTGACATCAGAGCAGAAGTTTCACGACTTATAAAGGATATACAAACAGGTATTTCCATTAAATTCATTTCCAACGCAACAATTCGATATAAAAATAAATTTTCGTTGTCGGTTTTGTAAATCCCGTCGAAACTAACATCAGGAAAACGACATGTCAAATTCATCTGATCGGCAGTTGCGAAAAAAAGTACCAAAGATAATTTTCGTCATCAATTTCACACCCACAAAACCCACCAAATGACAATGTGAGCTTTCAGTTTGACGTAATCACCTATCATTAACAATATAAATAGGCATACTGCCTACGTGGTACGTTGGCCTGCGAGAACACTTTCTGGCGCATGTTAGAAACATCTTGCAGATTCAGACGCTTCTCACAAAATTGGTAAGTGAAGTGGATAATATTGAATGCTGCTGTCCCCGAAATCAGCAAAGGTCTCACTGTTTCAAATTCCACGTCAGTTAACATGCGCATTCAAGAATTGTTGTCGTACCTCAAGGAATCCCACTCATGATTGTAATGCACATTCCCGCGAACAACAGTCCAGTAATCTCCAATAAATTTATAGAAGATGAAGACCGGACATTGAGTGTTCATTGAAGTCCTTCAGCACTTATGAAATTACCTTTTTCGTCTAATCGGCTATGAGGATCCGCTAAGTGTTCTGCAATCATTTCTCCAATATACAAATTTAATATACGACTTCTGATCTCTATGGAAATGAGAGTCTCTCACCGCATAATGACAATACGTTGCCCTTATGATGACGCTTCAAGTGATTGGAACGCTACCAGATACAATGTATTCAAGAATATTTTATCTGTTTCCGTGACTACGTGAGAAACGACAGAGCTTGTACCTTGTACGTTACCATCGTCCATAGTTTGAAGCAAAGGTGCTCTGTCGACAAGTACTTATATTTCATATCAATTTTAAATGAATAACCGACTGTTATGAACTTAAAGCTAGCCATTTAATTAGACGAAACGGAATAAAAAAATTGAAAAATTGGATGGAAAAAATTAAATAAAAAAGATACAAAAACCGCCGTGCGTTTAATGATATTCATTTATATGTGTGTAATGAAATAGAAATAGAAATGTGTATTGTTTTCCCATACATTAGTCATAGTGACCTTGGCTTACCCTCATAACCCAAAATTATTTCTGATAATAGTTTATAAAATACTTTATATTTTATAGAACTTCAATATGGTAGTGACCTTTGTGTGTAATTCATAAATTCATTTATCTGTTATTTATTTGATAATACACATTATTCCCATTTTTCCCTGCAAATTTGTACTTGATAATTCTCATATTTCTTAAATTTATTCTAATTAATTTTGTTATAGTTCACTTGACTGTGCAAAAAGTCAATCAATTAAAACCAAACAACAAATCAGTCAATATTTAATCTTTAAAATGATTAGATTATATATTTTATTCAGTTTTTATGCTAGTTTGTAGAGACTATATCAAAATGTATTTAAAATTTCGCCTCATATTTAAAAACCTATATCACTCAAGAAAGACTCTTATTAAAAACCAAAAACCAAGGTACTTTTTCCATTGTGTAAAATTCAATCTACACTGACAAATAGATATTTTTGTGTGTTTGTTCGTTGTAATTGCAAATGTATTCACTCACAGTTTCATTGGTTAGTTACAAACGTGTGACTGCGTTATTTTTTGCAATTGTTAACTTGATTTTATGTTGGATTCATTCTTATTCTTTTGTAGTAGTGGCATGCGATTTCATTGTTTTTTTAAATTTAGATTAGACGCGGTCTTTATTCAACCGTTGACTGGTTGCATGAACATGCTTGCTCTCGTACATATGGGTTGGGTACTCGTTTACCATGGGATGATAAGTGGCTTATTGAATCTTTATCTGACTCTACAATATATATGGCATATTATACAATAGCTCATTTGTTGCAAGGCGGGTCATTAGATGGTAGAAAACCTGGTCCTCTTAAAATTTGGTCAGTTGAATATTTACTGCGCTTTTGTTTGTGTTTATTAATTGTTACTTCTCCACAGAAATCATTTTAACCGTAGTTTAGGTGATATTTTCTTGGTGTTCCTATTTTTTTAATCTTTTGTTGGTTAAACTAACAAGCACACCCCGGTTTTGGTTACTTGATTACCAAACCTATATCAGTTCTTGATTATTTTAAAATGAGTTAAGTGTAGCAAATGTTTTTGACGAGATCATAAATCACAGAACAAAGATACATAATTTTCGGGCTATGGTGCAAAATAACTATTTGGTAATTCTGTATCGGAAGTGTAACAGTCAGTTGTTTTAAGTAAAATGATTTAGCTTTGAAAATATGTGTCTTCAGATTTTAGAATCTGAACTCCTATATAACCGGCAAAAATTCGACAGGGTCGTTGCATTGTCTAATATATATTTATTAATATTGTAAGTAAAATCCTAATAAACAAAGCTACCGACAATCTAACATACTGCTTAACTCAAATTTGTAAGATGTGCTCAACTTTCCTGGACTTCTAGTAAGAAGTAGTGACCAGTGTAGTTCAACCGGGTCTGTTGTGAGATAGTAACTCACTGAAGACAATGGTGGACGGTTGCTCAATTTCGTGGACTGGTTAAAATTAAACATTAACACCGTTGAATGCTAGAGGTTAAGCACTCGCGCGCGAGACTGATAAGTCCCGGGTTCGAACCTCGCGAGGCGGGATCGTGGATGCACACTGCTGAAGAGTCTCACAATTGAACGAAACTGCCGTCCAATCCATAAAATTGAATTTTTTCAAGATGACATCCATTTTTTTGATGAAAATTTAGATTTGTGAAAAGAAAAACCAGAGTAGATGAATTACTTCTTTCTGTTACTTCAAAAACATTCACAAGTTTTCAAAATTTCCTTTCATTTAATTTTTAAGTTATTGATACGAAAAGATTTTTCTATTGATCAAACAAGTAACCACATAAAAAACATTTAGGAATAGTTCACCAGATAATTAAAGAGTACAGAATAAGTTACTCTTTACATATGAACGCTATTTGTTTGATGTTTAACTATAACTGAAAATTGGAATTATGTATTGGTAATAATTTTTCAGTGAATAATAAATAGACTAAATTAAATGATTTAATGTTGCATTTTTATGTAACATTAGTTTCCCATTTTTACAATCAGTGAAACTGAATTCAACTCATGTACCATTTACGAATTCATCTATTCGACTTTAGACTATGTTGCATAATAGCTGCATACTTGGTTGTTTAAACTGAAGTAGGTGAAATGCCATTCAAACTCAGTGTACCCAATGGTTAAATTCGATTATTTCAAACAATGACGAAGTGTTCGAACAAGAAGTCATTTCTTATTTTTGGCAAGATTTCTTGTTTCTATTTTCATAGCCAAAGCTTTTGTTGATCTTTATGTATACATGCTTACTTTACATTCCTTTAAATATGATTTTATATCTTTTTGTTAAGGCCAGAACACATGACACCGGAAGTGTGGGATTACATATTTTTGGGAATAGGAGATCCAGACGATTTAGTCAAAATTAACAGACATTCATCTCTAAGTGTACCAATGTTGAAAAGACTCCGTAAAGAATTTCTTTTCTGGTATCCAGTTGATTTAAGAGTTAGTGGAAAGGATCTTATCTCCAATCATTTAACCTACTACTTATATAATCATACTGCTATATGGCCAAATGATCCAAATTTATGGCCTCGAAATATACGTGCCAATGGCCATTTGTTATTGAACTCTAATAAGGTAATTGACTTTTTATACTTCGTAGTTTTTAAGGTTACCAATGTTACATGTACTGTCATTAGTTCAAGGTTTAACAATCATCTAATATTTGCGTATGTAATAATCACATCAATAAAATTTGATAACAAAAATAAGTACCAGTAAAATAGCACGAGATGTTAGAGTAGACAAATTCTGTCACGCATCAATAGCGTACAGATCTTATTCTTTGTTTGTTAGATGCTTTAGAATCTGTCACTTAGTAATTAAAGTTAACTCATTTAAACTAAAACATGTTAATTGGATTCAGTTTGTTTACATATCCATGTAAAACTTTCAACCTTGTTTTATATGAATAATCGATCTAATGTTGTAATCCAAGGGCATACAGCGGGTCTTATTATAGGTTTTGCAAGATTATTGAACTCAACTATTCTAATGAATGTTTTTGGTTGCATATTTTTAATCATAAAATTTATTCACATTAATATTGTCCACTGATCTTAATTTTGTTTCATACAGATGTCAAAATCAACTGGTAATTTTCTCACTTTAGCAGATGCTGTGGAAAAGTACTCAGCTGATGGTAAGTTATCTAGATTGTTGTCGGAAATTTACTGTTTTCTCAACTTCCAGGTTTTCGATGGTGGTCTAGCCTCAATTGACTCATGATCTTAACTATAAAATTACTAAATCTCCACAAAAACCCCCCTTGTGATAATGATCATATGCTCACTAGGGACTGGCTCCTTGAGGTAATTCCTGGAGTTCTAGTGAGAAGTCGTGGCCAGTGGAGCTAATCCATGTCAGGTAGAGACAGGTATCTACCTCAGTACATTGGAAGTTGGTTGCGCAATTTCGTGGATTGGTTGAGGTTAGACATTAACACCGTTGGATGCCAGCTCAGTGGTCTATCGGTTAAGGGCTCCGGATCGAGACTGGTAGGTCCTGGGTTCGAATCTCGCGAGAGCGGGTTCGTGGATGCGCACTGCTGAGGAGTCCCATAATAGGACGAAACGGCCGTCCAGTGCTTCCAGGTTTTCGATGGTGGTCTAGCCTCAATTGACTCATGATCTTAACTATAAAATTACTAAATCTCCACAAAAACCCCCCTTGTGTTAATAAAAATAAGTTGATTCAGTTGTGAGATGTGGTATTTTAATTATACTTCTTGTCGTTTAATGAATACCCTGTTTTATCAAATAATTATCGAGTGTTTTTAATTTTTAATTCTTTGAACTGGCCCATACAAATGAAAAGATTTGTTATCGTTCTAGACAACGTAATCAGTGCCTACTTTAAGTAGTAGTGATGAATTTGATTCCTTCCTAAGTATTAAGTAGGTTCATTCTTATAACACTGTTTCAAGCTGGTTGTCTTCACAGGCTGTATTATCCCTCTGTGTCCTTGTTTTTCCGTTGAGCATTTTGTTTAATTGACTTAAAAGTTATTTTGTATTACAAAATTTGTGGTCAGTCAATAGTCGCTTATTATATTCCTAGTTTCCATTTTCTTTGAAGAAAATATACCCCACAATGTTTATAATTCCCTGGGTCCTAAAGACAAACAATTGTTGTCGCATAATTAAATAACCAACGAAGGATTTAAAAAAACAATTTCTTTATCAACATGTTCAGTAATTTAAATTGATGTTTTAAATGTTATCGTAAATTAAAAACATTTCTTTCTTTGTTAAACAGTTAAATACGCATGTACTTTTTGTGTTTCTTATAAAATAATAAATTGTGCGCACATGTAGATAAACAACAGAAATTCATTTAATTTTTATAAAATCTATTTAATGTTTAACTACTTATTTTTTCTCTTCGTAATAAGGTGTTCGTCTTGCTCTGGCTGATGCTGGTGATTCTTTAGACGATGCTAATGTAAAAGAAGAAATGGCTGAAGCTGGACTTTTACGTTTGTATAGCCTTTTGGATTGGTTCAATATGACTTTGGAGATTTTAAACGATTCAACTTTACAACAAAAATCTAATTATCGAACAGGTGCTTATACAATGCATGCAGATTTCGTTTTTGAAAAGTACGCTTTATTTAGTTCTAAATGAGACATGAATTCATTTTTTCAATTTTTTTCTAAAATAAAAGTCTCATTATTATAGTAGTTTTCATGTTTTTTTGAATTATAGTTCATTTAGTCTTCATTTCTTAATAGCTTAATAGTTAGTATTATCTTTCCGATCATTTTAAATAGATTAAATGAATAACACTTACTTTTTATTACTCATGATTTGTCATATCTTTAACACACTTAAGTTTTACACGTTTACACTTATCGTTTATAGTGACTGACTTTTTTGAGTGAACGGTATATTTGTCATTGAGTTTCCTCTTTATTTACTCCTGAGTGAAATATGTTCTTAAATATTTTATTCATAGTGAAATAAATCATACGATTGAATTGGCCGATAAAGCGTACGCTGCACAAGAATACAGAGAAGTACTTAAAATTGTCTTTTATGAACTTCAGGTAAGTAAATATATTTTTTACTAAAAATTGCTTTTGCTTTTAATCATCATAGTATAAGTCTTGGTTAAATTTAGTATCTCAAGTAAAAAGTCAATATAAATAATTATACAGTTTATATTTTTATGTTAACAAGATATAAATGTATCGTAAATCGTTGCCATAGCAGCTTTTACAAATTTGGTATGTTTTAAATGAACAGTTCTTTAATTATATATCAATCTGATTTTAGAATGTAGTTTGTTAGCTTTCTAGTTACACGTTTAATACTTTCTAAACGATATATGACCAATTCAAATACTATGGATATCTAATGAATTGAATTTTTATTGCTTGTATTTGGGCTCAACTTACTTGGTTATCAAATCTATTATTATTGTCACTTAACTATCCGAAAATCTAAAGAAGTGTATACGATAGATAATTATCTTAATTAGCTATTGGTTTTCTGAACAGTGACTGATTGGTATTAAGTACAATATTTTGTCGGTTTTAAAAACCCCAAAGACAGTTGAATATTATGATTCATATTTATATGAACAGTATCTAAGTCATCTTCCTACTCGCTTAGGCAAAGAATATTCTCTTGAACATAACCTGTGATAACAGTCAGAACTTCAAGCGCTTACGTTCTGTCAATATATGAAATTTTATTCTTTCCTTTAACCATCATATTACTGTTTAATTCATTTCACAGTATCGTTTTCTGGGATATTTATATAGGCACATCGTGACCGTTATCGTGAAGTTTGTCAAGGCAGTGTACATACTAATCTAATTCGACGTTATATGAATATTCAATTACTACTACTTAGTCCAATTTGTTCACATGTTTGTGAACATATATGGATTAATCTGTTAAACAACAAAACATCAATATTTTGTGAAAAATGGCCTGAACTTAGTTGTCCAGTAGATCGAATACTTCTTTTACAAGGTAAAATAAGTTGCTGAATGTAGTTTGATTTGTTAATTTCGTTCATGTTCACTAATCGTGCTTTTGAAAATATGGTTATTACTTTGAGAATAAGTGCGTCATCATTAACTAATAGTTAACATAGAGATAACTTAATTGATATATTTCTTAAGTCAGAGTGCATATTTCACCCTCACACATTGTTAGATGATTTAAACACGAGGTTCCGATCCTAGGTTTTGTGCTAGATATCACTCTCTAACTTAAATCCCTCTACATCTTGAGAAGACTGGCATTCTTCTTTGGGACTCGAATCTGTTTGACGTGTTCGGTAGGGTTCAAAGTCACTTATTAATAACCGATTTCACGTTGTGTAGTCAAGAATCCTGCTCAAATTCTATCAACGAGGTTGTAATGTGACCATTTGTCTGGCTGCGCTAACATTTGCGTACGCTTTTCGAACTCTAAGTAACAGAAGTTTCAAGTCCCTGTTTCTCACTTTCTCCTTCCAACAACTTAACGTCAAAGTATAGTGCACACAGTGTTGGGTTATTTGGCCTAGTGACCACATTGCAACCTAATCGATAGCATTCAACCAACGCTAATGACTAGAAATTACACTGGGTACTACTAACCGATCATTTGATGTCTAACTTTCATACAAAAATGTGGTCCAACATTAAGTTGTTACTTACCTCACATTTATGTTATATTTCAGTAGTTTGTTTGATTACTATTTTTCAAGAATAATTAAATTATTCAGTGGATGTTTTTCTATTCATTCTTGTTTTCTTTCTTCCTAATTAGGTCGTTACATAGATGATACCGCTCATGCTTTTAGATTACAACTTAAACAATACCAATCATCAAAGTCTTTCAAGAGTAGTAAATTTGTTGGATCTCATTCTGTTACACAGTTTATTCCACCTTCGGATGCCGTTGTTTGGGTTGCTAAAGCTTATCCAACATGGCAGGTATTTCTTGGTCCCATTTCATCATGTTTTCTTGGTTTATTAAGTTGTATCATATGATAACTTTCATAGCCCTGATATTAATACAACTGCTTTTTCTCTTTTTAAACGACTGATTCTCACCCATGGTTCAGTGAAATAGAAATTTAATTTTCTTATTTTGGTTTTCTATATTGCTAACTTTTTTTAGGCACAAATTCTTGAAATTATGGCAGCTAATCTTTCCGATGATGGTAAAACGTTAGCAGATAATGCAACATTAGCTCAACTTTTACGTCCTCATCTAAAGGCTATGGGTAGAATGGCAAAACGTGCTATGCCATTTGTACAGTTAGTCCGGGAACGGTTTTTAATTCACGGTAAACAAGTTCTTCAACTTCAGTTAGAGGTGGATGAATGTGAAGTAATTAAAAAGAATTTATCCTATCTTATATCGACTTTAGGATTAAGACAACCTGATGGTTTAAAAGTAAGTTTTATGGTGAAATATCAATATGTGCTAGTAATTTTCTGTTGTTTTTCTAAACAGTTTTGGAATACATCAAATAAATTTCACTTCAGTACCTTGTCGTTAGTAGTTTTGGTCTAGCAATTGCCCTAGATTTTTATATGGTGGTGATCCAGTCAGTTTAAGTATTTCATTCATGTTGCGGTGTAACACATGTGAACTTTAACACAAATTTCTTGCATTATAGGATATTTTTATGTAATAAATTCAGCTAAACGGATTTTTGATTAGTTGACATCTGGGTTATTTTGCTACTTATTCTCATTCCGGTAGATTCAGTAATAATATCTCGAAACTATAAAAAGAAAGTAGCTTCAAAGCTTTTATGTTTAGAGTAATTAATTAACCATTAAAGTGAATGAACACATTAGTAATACCGTTTTTTATTGTGAATGGTGTTAGCGTTTTGGTGTGTTATAAAGCGAACTTTAGTAAATATTCAAAAGGGAAATAGGTGGGATGACAAAGATATACTTTAGCTTGGTTATGGTGGAGTTCTGTTCTCTGTGCTAGATGGTTTGTTTGTGGAGCCTTCATCGTTCTTCTGAACGACATCAGCACAAACTTCATGTTGAAGTAAAGTATTCGAATCTGTCTACATGGACTCACAACTTGTCCTGTAGACCTAGATCTTGACTAGCTATTGTTAACCTTTAACCTGTCATCGTTTACTTCCTTCGCTTCGTTATTTCGAACTTGACTTTACAAATCAATCACTTTTCCAATGGATATATACTTAATGTAATATCTTCATCACAAATGAGTTACATTTTAGTAACCTCATGATTAAACGTGCATTGTTTTACTTCCTCTGGTATTATCCAATTACATTTTCTGTTTAAGAAAAACTGCTCATCTGATCCATCATTTTCAAATTAACACTTAGAAGATTGACTAAAATTGAAAATTATACATGAATTGTCAAAAGAATACAGGCAAAGTAGATTAGGTTATCTAGCAATTCAGTTGTTAATTACTGATAATTACTTGCTTTGGTTTAGGACTTCAGTTTAAAGCATATGATGATCCTAAACCTACTCATTGAATTCTAAATGTGAATGGTTTTTACCGAAGTAGTTTTAAAATACTAGTCAGTGATTAAAAACTTCATGGACTGATCACATTAATTCTGTCGGTATTGCATTCAGAATTTACTAAATCGTAACATAAAGAACGTTTTATTATATTTAATTGTTATTGTTGTATGGAATTAACGCTAACAGAACACTCTTAGAATACTCCTTAGGTTTGAATTCAATGTCAACAGTTTACAAAAGTGATTTATAGCAGTTTTTATTGTATGGGTATTCATTTATCAATTTATTATTTTTCATTTTTGCGACGTAAGCGTACGGTTGTAACTGCTGCTTGATGGGTAATTAATCATATTTTCATCTATGTCATCTGTCTCGTCTCTTCAGAAGCTAAAAATCATCCCATATTAATAAAGATAAGTTGTTCGTTACGTTAATCAGTCAGTCAGTCAACTACAACGTAGGACCAGGCACACATGTGCACCGGTCCAAGTTGTCATACCTCATTAGCACAACAAGATGAACACCGAATTCATAGTAGTTAATTTAGTGGTGGTAATACATGGAAGAAAGATTGTATATAAGCAATATAGCACAGGAAGAAAGACAGATATGAAGCAATTTTAATCTCAAGGTTTAAAGGAAGACAAAGAGTGTATACGCTTACGCCATTGTGATCGATTCTGAGCCATGTCACAGAGTCTCCAACCACTAGTTACTATAGTCACGCGGACCCCCACCAAGTAGCCTGCACCTACCAACATAGCTCAGACTAGAAGTTAGTGACTTAAAGCTGTTTTGCTTAGTTACTGATGCCACGTTTTGGTTTGGCTGCCCGTAACTTTCTCCCAACCATCTCAATTGATGAAGATTCACAACCTCATCAAGTGATTTACCATCTGATATATCTGAAGCGCTACGAATTCATCAGTAACGAACGGAACAAAGACACGTGACCAGAGACCGATAACTAGCTATACTGACGCGACCCAGACCCAGCTAACTAGAGTAAGAAGTCCAAGTTGGAGCGGGGAAGTTATATTCCGTAGCAGCCAGAAGCACAGTAATCAAATAAGGGAAAAGTCAAGCGTATTTATACAGTAACGAAATGTCCTTGGGCATCGTTAATAATTAGCACACACGAAGAGACAATGGACTAATAGCGTTTAAGATAGTTACAAGTGGGAAATATGATGTGAAGGTAATAAGAGCACGTTTTGGCGCGAAAACAGCTAAATTCAAATTTCCAAAATAAAATTACAAAACTAAGCCATTTACCAAGTAAGTTCTGGGGATTTGACATCCCCAACACCTCCCCCTTTAATAACGCACACTCTTCGGGTCCACTTGCATTCTGACTGTCTTTCGCCGTTGGCGCAGTGACCATCTTCGGGACCGTAGGTCGACCTTTTGTATTTCTTCATGCGTTGGGACTGCCGGCAGATTAAAGGTGTCCAATAATACGTCCAGCGGGATCTTTACTTCGGTCGATGGGCGCTCTGGCGTTAACCGCTTGCGTAGTTGATTTCGATGTCTGGTCCACCTGTCCGCTCCCACCTCAACCTCGTACATGACTTCTCCTACCCTTCTAACCACACGTGCTTCGATCCAAGGGTCACGACTTGCTCTGTAGTCTCTAGCAAATACTGGGCATCCAACGTTGTACGTGGGTAGCTTCCGGGACGTGGTTTGTACTAGTGGTGGTGTGGTTTTCGGCAGCATCAAGTTGTGGATGGTCCTCAACCGTCTTCCCATGAGGATCTCTGCGGGGGACTTCTGCTCCGACAGCGTGTCGTTGGGGGTCGTTCTGTAGGCGAATAAAAAATTCTGCAGTGTTTCCACTGGTGTCCCCTCCCCTTTTGACTTAATAAGGGCCCTCTTGAACGTATCCACGAACCTTTCCGCTTGCCCATTCGATTGTGGGTGATAAGGTGGGGCGCGAAGATGCCTGATGGTTAGGCGTTTGCAGAACTCTTGGAACTGCGCCGAGGTGAACTGCGAACCTTTGTCGGATACAATCACTTCCGGTAATCCGTTTCGTGCGAACAACTCAACCAGATGTTTCAGAGTCTGGGTGGTCGTTGGTGGATTGACGGGAACAATCTCCGGCCATTTCGAGAAGGCATCGACCACGACAAGGTAAGTGGTTCCGTTGATTGGACCGGCAAAGTCGACATGTACCCTAGACCAGGGATGCTCAGGCTGTGGCCATGGAACCGGCGGCACCTTTGCATTGAACTTTGCAGCTTGTTGACACTGAGCACATTTGTTTACTAGATCCACGATATGCTGGTCCATGAGGGGCCAGTAAGCATAGCTTCTGGCGATGGATTTCATACGCTTTATGCCTGGATGACCAATGTGGAATTGCTTCAGCACCCTCGGTCGCAGGGATTCTGGCACCACCACTCTATCTCCAAACATCAAGCATTCACTTACGACACATAATGAGTCACGACGATGGTAAAGCTGCTTCATGTCACCGTCAAGTTTAGTTGATGGCCAGCCATGGGTGACGTAGTTCATCGTTTTCTTAATGATGGGGTCGTTTCTGGAAGCAGTTTGTATCTCAGATTCTGAGACTGGCAAGGCACGAACAGCCGTTGTCAGGTAGCATTTTGCGTGGTCTTCTGTCGAAAGAGAAGCAATAACGGCATCTTCCTCGGTCGTAGAGTGTTCGCTGATGAGTCGTGACAATGCGTCTGCCTGACCAAAATGTTGGGTGCGTCGATACTGAATGTCAAAATCATAACCCAAGAGGATCAAGGCCCATCGTTGAAGACGGTTTGCAGAGTGGGCCGGGACACCAGACTTCGAACCAAAAATTGCATGGAGAGGCTTGTGATCCGTTAGGAGAGTAAATCTCCGACCATATAGAAACTTGTGAAAACGACGCACTGCGAATACTAGGGCAAGAGCCTCCTTCTCTATCTGGCCATACTTCTTTTCTGCTGGGGTTAATGTTCGGGATGCATGCATGATAGCTTTCTCTGTCGCGTCGGGGAACTGGTGTGAAATAACGGCACCGAGCCCAAAGGCTGAAGCGTTTGCGGCCACGATGATTGGCAAAGACGGGTCGTAGTGCGTTAATAGTAGTTCTGAACTAATAATTGTCTTTAGCTTACAAAAGGCATTTTCACACTCCTTTGTCCATTTCCAGCTGATATCCTTATTCAGAAGATAATTCAGTGGGGCGCGTATGTCATGCATCGATGGAACGAAGGCTGAGTAATAACTAACCAATCCCAGGAATGATCGTAGAGTAGATATATTAGTAGGTGTGGGCATAGTTCTTATAGCTCGAATGTTCTCGGGATCTGGTCTGCGACCTGCAGCATCAAAGATGAACCCCAAATACTTCACGGATTCCAAGAAAAGCTGGCACTTTTCCGGGCGTAACCGGAACCCGTTGTCGCTGACGCGTTGAAGCACGGCTGTTGTGCGTTCTCGTAGCTGTTCCGACGTTGCGGCAACAATGAGGATGTCATCCAGATAAGTTGCGACCCCCGGGATACCTGATAGAATGATATCCATTAGCTGCTGGAAAATAGATGGGGCGGTCTTGACTCCAAACGGCAGTCGATTATATTGGAACAGGCCACGATGAGTATTAATAGTGAGTAGCTCTCTTGATTCTTCAGCCACTTCTACTTGTAGGTAGGCATCAGCAAGATCCAACTTCGCAAAGTACTTTCCGCCATTCAGCATAGTGAACAAATCTGCCGGGACTGGCAGCGGATAATGATGCTGTTCTAGGGCTGCGTTGAGACCTGTGGAAAAATCTGCACATATTCGGATCGTACCATTAGCCTTCTTGATAACAACAATGGGTGCTGCCCATGCGGAATAAGAGACAGGAGTAATAACTCCTTCACGTTGAAGACGATTAAGTTCTTCCTCAACTTTCTGTAATGCCGCATATGGTACTGGTCTATTCGGACGAAAAGCAGGTTTGACCCCAGGTTTCAATCGAAGCGTTGCTTTCATTGCTGAGCACCGACCCAAAACAGGCTGGAAGACGGTCGAAAACTTCGTAACTAGTTCCTTTGAATAGGCTTCCGGGTCATGGGGATGCTTTACTAGTTGATACACAGTGTTTAACGGGACGTCTGCTAAATGCAGTTGGTCAAACCAATTTAATCCAAGTAAATTAAGATCAACCGGTGCAATGTAACATACCCCAGTGAACGTCGAATCGCGAAAAGACACTTCACAATGTAGTTGACCTAACAAACGTAAGTAACTACCGCATGCTGTACGAGGTTTTTGTGTTGTTGTCGCCATACGTGGTCTGCCCATTTTAATCGAAGATTTTTGTGAAAGAATTGTCACGTCAGATGCTGTGTCTATTTGTAATCTAAATGGGTGCCCGTTAATATTAATGGTAATAAATTTTCTCTCACCTGGGGTTGAGTTCTGACAGGATGCTACAAGACTCAACGAATTTGTGCGCGGCTTGGGAGCAGACTTTTTAGTACTCTTGGGGCGATTCGACTTTTTATTTTGGCAGAACCCATCTTTGTGTCCCACAGCTTTACACTTCCTGCAACGATGTTGTTTATACGGGCAGCTTCGAACATAATGCCATGCACCACAGTGCCAGCATGGAGCAGGAGGATTCGTCTTTGCTTGTTGAACTGAGTTAGAGTGAGACGAACTAGATATAGCTGGAGCGGGTTTAACAGGTTTCGTTTGTTGTTGAACTACATGTACTTCAGGGCGATCAGAAACACCACGTTGAACCATGGTAGTGTCATGCTGCAGATTAATTAGACGTTGATATTCGTTAGCAATATCATTAAGAGTCAGCTTAGGGTCTTGATCCAATCGACT